GCACTGAATCAAAAAATGTTTAAATGAGTATTTGTTCTTTGGGTTTTTTCCTCTTAGAAATCGGGTGAGGACAGTATGTGTCATTTAGCACCAAGATTCCAGCCACTACTGCCTCCTCCTACATCTAGCAGTTGAAAACTTCAAATCAAGTAATGGGTAGATCATAATGAATCTTTTTCACTTCAAACAATATGGTCAATCTTGTTTCATTCAAAAAAGATGATGCATCTTACTAAAGAGCCCATTCGGCTTGAAAGGAAGTACTTGTGAACGGCCGACAACCTGTAGGAAGTGCTCCTGAAGCTCGCTCACGTCCAACAATCACCTTGTGCGATGGGCGGCGGGTGTGAGAAAACAGAACACACCAGGCTCGCCAGATATCGGCATGTCATGCAATTAGTCACATCCAAGACTTCAAAACACAAGAATAAATATCTTATTTTTTTAAAGGAGCGACACATCTTAATGCGTAAAGAGAAGGCATAAGTGGGGTCATAATTACTATAATTAACCTAACTTTGTGGATTCTAACTTCTAAGACCTAGCAGGAGAGCAATATTTTCATCCATATTATTATACTCGATTATCCTTATAATGTAAACCTTTTCATAGAAAAGAGGAAATACTTTGCGTTGACATCTGTATCGTAGTAGCCATAACAGAACTCTATATGCATCTCGTCCTAGGTTTAATGTAACGACCACTGAAGATGGTTATTTGCCTTTGACAACTAAACTGTTCCTGAAGTAGTTTCAAGTGTGCCACCTCTTTTGATGTATATGCAGCTAGTACAAATTTCTATGGTAGATTTTAGATAGAAAGGGAAATACCGTATCCAAATCTGGACTTCTGGAGCTTCATGGGCTTATTGTCCATTGTGTCCACCAACTCAACGTCCATTGTGAGCTCAGTGTCGGACTTGAACCAATGAACTGTACCAGCAGGAACGACTTTCCATTTGCGAACACCTACATAGCCATCCAAATAAGATCATAGATCTCCCCAAAAACAAGAAGATTGAAGGCTAACTGATGCATCTGTTCTGGGCGTGAGCGGCAGGTAAAGTAGATAGATGTATTGTACAGATATGGAGAAAAGGTGAGAGCAAGGTACCATGTCGATTAATTGAAGCTGAGTTTTGTTCCACTGTTCTGCCTACTGTATGCCTCCAGTCCGTTCTCCTGTCAAACTCGTGAATATAGCAACAACACAGGAAGGTGTAGGCTTTCAGAGATGAGGTTGAATATAGCAACAACAAAAATAATTGGACATCAGGAAGCAGGTGAACCGAGGCATGTCCCGACGTCGGCAGCGCCCTCCATTAATCTGCTAGGCCGGGGGCGCAGAGGCCCACTTGCGGGAGAGGCAGGGAGGCGGCCATGGCACGGCGTTCTGGAGGAAGGCGACCATGGCATGGGACGGCGGCGGCTGCGCGCGGCGCCGGCGCTCGGGAAGATGGAGGACCATCATGGCGCGCGGAGCGAGGCGCAGAGGAACGGATCTGGTCGTGCAGAGGCCCACTTGCGGGAGAGGCAGGGAGGCGGCCATGGCAGGTCGTTCTGGAGGGAGGCAACCATGGCATGGGACGGCGGCGGCTGAGCGCGGCACCGGCGCTCGAGAAGACGGCGGACCATGGAGGCGCGCGGAGCGAGGCGGAGACGCACGGATCTGGCCGCTCCCACGTCAGATCGGGCCGCAGTGGAGCTCCACATCGGGATCCATGGCCTGAGGCAAGATTTGTGAGAGAGAGGTCGGGAAGGGGGAAGGGAGAAGAAGAGAGATAGGGCGCGCGGGAGGGGTTACCGGACGAAGGCTGGAGATCGGCATCGGTGGCGCTGGACGCCGGCGTGAGATGCAAGCCAGAGGAGGGAGAAAACCGTGAGGGAGAAAACCTGTAGGGGGGAAAGAAAATCGAGTGGGACGATAGGTGGGTCGAAACGGGAGGAAAAAAAATCGGTGCGCGAGGGGTCGTACGAGAGGCTTGACGAACGTAAGAAGGGAAACGGAACACTAGGTTTCTTTTAGATAGTAGAGATAAGCCAAGGGAGCTACCATTTCGACTGTTAATGGAGATTACAAATAATTTTGCTCCGGAGCAAAAGCTTGGCAGCGGCACGTTTGGAGTAGTTTACAAGGTACATCCATTTTCATCACTATTATAGGCCCATACCATGGACAATTTCTATCCTTGTACCAAAAAACTGGACAATATTTATTCATGAGGAACTTTCTTTAAGAAGCCATTGCCAAGTTGAGTTCCGTTAATTGATAAGGCCATATCGAAGGAAGACGTTTGCTTTTTCGATTTAGATCTAGACCGCCCCTTGACCCTTAGACCTATGAAACAAATAGCTAGGCCCAATTATTTTACTTTTCACACTGCATGTTCGGCTTGATAAATTATGAAAACCTATGAACAGGGAGTGCTTAAAGATCGAATGATTGCCGTGAAGAAGCTTCGTTTCATACCAGATATTGACGACAAACAATTCAAGAATGAATGTGAACTACTTAGGAGGCTGAAGCATCAAAATATTGTGCAATTGGTGGGTTTCTGCAACGAGACAGAGAAAGTAGCTGCCAAATACGAAGGGCGAATAGTGGTTGCTGAAGAGATACACAGGGCACTCTGTCTCGAGTTTGTGCCCAATGGAAATCTTGGCAAGTTTCTTTCAGGTACGTTGGTTAAGTACTTACGAAAAGTATATTCTCCAGCATGTAACATAAATGGTTTAAAAAAAGTTCCTTCTCAAATATACACTTCTTTGCTCTTGCAGAACAACGTCATATACTAAATTGGAACTTATGCTTCAAGATTATCAAGGGGATAAGCGAGGGCTTGAAATACCTTCATGATGTTCCCATCAACCATTTGGATCTCAAGCCGGATAACATATTACTAGATGATAAAATGATTCCGAAAATAGCAGATTTCGGTATATCAAGACTCGTGGGCACAAAGAACACCGTAAAGACATTGACCCCCCTAGGGACAATGTAAGTTAAAGCACAATATATTTTTGAGCCAAATTGTGTTCTGTTACTCTTATTTTGCTTGCCTGATTTTATGTTATCATGCAGTGGATACATGCCACCAGAATTTATAAAAAGGCAAATAATATCGAAGGAGTTTGACATATTTAGTTTGGGCGTCATAATTATAAAGATACTGACCGTAGTGATGGAGGACCAAAGCATTTATTTCACGGACGACCGGGAATGCATTGAACATGTAAGAATATTGTTTTTCTTTTAGTTAGATATGTTAATATTTAGGGCCCCTTTGAATGCAGACCTTGCCGAGTAATTTTGGATAGTTCAAAACAATGGTTACTTGATGATAGGACTGTATTTACCAAATTTTTACACCTCCAGCTGAGAATAAATAAATAAAGCTTGAGACCTCTGTATATGGAACAGTTATCTAGAAATCTGGGAAACAAAAGAAATAATTTAGTTGCGGATAGTAGCAAAAACATCTACATAATAGAATTTGAACCGTCTACTATTTACCATCTAATGTTCCTTATTTGGTTCTCAATGTATGAGTCATATTTAGTTTTTTGTTAATTTTTCTTAACACAGTACAGACGCAAGCGCTCATATACACGCGCACACACTCATTCTTATGAACGCACACACACACACCCTATCCCTATGAGCCCCTTCGAAAGACTGCCGGAAATCCTGAAATAAATTCAGGAATAAATGCGAGCACCAGGACTTGAACCCTGGTGGCTGGTGGGCTGGGGATACCACAGTCCCTCTAGCCATCCAATCACAGGTTGGTTCGTAGTTTTTCGTTATATTTTCTGCTGCCATAAAAAGTGGTTATACTAGAATGTTTCCTGAAAGATAACGAGTGGTTCTTACATCGACGTGTGGACGGAATGAGAGCTAAAAGGTGAATCATACAAAGAAAAGTGAAGCGATGAACGTATCAAGAAACAAGAAAGTAATTAGTGTGGTGTTTCACTAATTCTGTTTTCAAAATAGTTCTGTTCTCCTAAAAGACTATCTGGGAAGTGTCACGCACCAAAACTTTTTGTAAAAACATCTGCAGAAATGTTTTTTACAGAGAATACAAGAACGAGATTGCTAGTTCCTGGTGTCTGGCCGAGATCCTGGTATCCTGATATCCTGGGCTACTGTATCATGTAGATATATTTTATTTTTTTCAGAGTGATGGAGATATAATTTTTGTTCTTTTCCTCTGTGCACTCTGTAAATATTCTGCAGTGCACTTACTCCTCTTAATTAATTGAAGCACTGCTGTTGCTGCCTTATATTAGAAAAAAAGGAGTTGCTAGTTCGTAACAAAATATCCATGATTTTCATACTGTGGATGTTCACATGCTTACATGATCATATTTAGTGCATATGATTGATCAACAGCCTATTTTCAACACACATGCCCATATTTGCAAGTTTCTAAGTAGTATGAGAGCTTAATATATATATATATATATATATATATATATATATATATATATATATATATATATATATATATATATATATATATTTCCTGGGAGAGATTAATATTTACAATGTGCAAATTGTCAGAACTCTCACTAGAACAGTAATGGAGAAAGACAGGAATAGGAACTATGTGATTTTGTCCATAATTAGCAAATGTACACATGTAGTACAAATGTACAATGATATCTCTCTATGATGTTTTTCTACATTGTTTTAAACTTTTGTAGTTTGAAGGATTATGTACATGAGCAATTAATGTTCTTCTGGAATTACCCACGCTGTTTACAGTAATATGCATGTGTTATCTGTTTCCGTTGTTTGTTTTGCCTTTTGAAGGTACATAGCTATTGGAAGAAAAAGTTACAAGGGATGCCAGGGTACGAATCACTGGAAGCAGATTGCAAACAAGTGAGGACTTGTATTGAGATTGCAGTAGTGTGCATGGACGAGGATCCACGCAGAAGGCCTACGATGAAGTATATAGTTCATAAACTCAACAAGCTAGAACTTAAGGAAAAATGAATCATTCGTGCCGATGGAACCGGTACAAACATTTTTTCCTAGATGTGCAATACTTGTTCTTGAAGTTTCTCTCTAGAATCATGCAACGGTTGTTGGTAAAAACACATGGAGAAGTGTTAGTATATCTGAAAGCGTTCACATACGTTACTTTCTTATACTAGTATTATAGTGGCGGAGCTACAATCAAAGGCATGGATGGGCCAGCCTGAAGCGAGGCCCTATTTTCTATCAATTATGGCCCAGATTATTTACCCGTAGGCCCATTCTGTTGCGCAAAAACTGGGCGGACCATGGCCCAGTTTTGCTTCAATGTAGCTCCACCACTGATAGTATGCACCTCAAGTTTTTATTCCTGAGGTATGACCATTTCATTTCTAAAGGGAAAAAAGAATACACAGTGAACAATCACAGATCACAAACGATCATATTTCTGTAAATCAAATTACTTAGGGGAATCTGCATGAATATTTTAAGGATTTTTAAAACATCTATGCATGGTCCTGCTGATTCCATTTATTTATTTCCCTGATGCTCTAATCTTTAAATTTCAAAATGATAGAATAGTTACTATTTGCTCTGTTCCAAAATATTTGAGGCTCTAGGTTTGTCCTAAGTCAAACTTCCTTAGGTTTGACCAAGTTTATAGAAAAAAAATACTAATATCCACAAAATTAAATATAAAATTATATATAGTGTGAAAATATACATTATGATGAATCTAATGAAACTAATTTGGTGTTGTGGATGTTCGTATATTTTTATGTAGACTTTGTCAAACCTAAAGAAATCTGACTTAGGACTGAACTGTAACTTCAAAGAGTAGAGGGAGTACTTATTATCTTGTAAGGTGATAATATCAATTGATACAAACACAGTGGCTCCATCGACATTCCCATCCATTTCTATAACTTCATCAAAGTAACTAAACTGCTACAACCTCAAAGCTGCGAACTTGCAAAAAACACATGTTCTTTCAATGCCCATTCACATTAGAAGTAGCCTTAGGTGACTGAAAGAACACAAAAGTGGTACCGAAAGCATATGATTTTGTTTTCAGTTTAAACGCAAATCTTATTCAGTAAAAATAATATTTTTCACCAGTTGTTTGGTTAAAACTTACTATTGCATAAAACAACATTGGAGAGATTATGTTCCTCATCCATGCATAATAATTACATAATTTCTTGTAGTTTCAAGGCGGTCTTCCCCAGAGGAACATCTCAAAGGGGCCATCTCCAGGTTAGTACGTACTACTCTAAATGATGTCTTACTGCCAGTGCTTGCCCTGCAGCTTATTTATACTTCCATGCTATTTTTCTCCTTTTCTGCTATACATAAACGAAATAAAAATTCCTTCTCCTCATACTTCAGTTTTTACATTCATGTAAATTGTGATGTTTGCATCAAAATGATCCCAAAGATAGGAAACACAAGGGATGTGTCACCTTTGCTTGGACTTCTAGATATATATGTCAATACTAACTATGTTTGTTTGTACATATTTCTTACTCTTTCATCATGTAACCCACACTATTAAATTCCACAGAAATAATGTACAAATACCAAAATAACATTGTAAAATAACTCTGGCAAAAGAGAAAAGACTTGGCGAATGTGACTGCAATTATGATCTTATACCCATTATTATGCGCATCAGCCTGTGAAACAGTCAACTTTCTGAAACAGGACAAGCGCGTTCACGGTATCAAACAAAAATAGATGAACCCTTTAAGGAGTATGGAATAATTACAACAAAAGATCATGAATAAGCACCGATTGAAGAGAAGGTTAACCAACATCCTTCGGTATGGCTTGGGCATATACAATGCAGGCCTCTAGAAGCGTGTTGTTGTTGCAGTTTTATTCCGTCTTCATCTTTTTGCAACATAGATGATGTTGCGGGAGGACTTTTGCAACATGGATAATGTTGCAGAATGTTTTTTCATTGAAAAGATGATGTTGTTTGCAATGTGAATCCAGAAATTTCTAGTATAGAAATATGTTGTGGGAGGACTTTTGCAACAAAGCCCTTGCTGTGGAAAGTACAAAAAACATCGCTGGCCGGAGCGACGACGGAGGGGGTGAGAGGGGAGGCCGGAGCGGCGCAGTTGGGCCGACGGTGGCCGTAGCGGAGCTCAGGTGTGCACGCTCGAGCGACGGCCATGGCTGCGAACAGGCATATGGAGGTGGGGAGAGGAGGAGTTGGAGAGGAAAAGGAGGAGAGAGAAAGGATGGCTAGCAGTGTCCTCAGGTGATCACTGGCGGCGGCCGCGAGAGAGCGGCTTCTAGCAGTGCGCAGGATGAATGGCTTGCAGCTGCACTTGTGGCGGTGATGGTCCTGGTCTCTTGGAGCACGGCTACAAGCGAGAGGGTGTGAACGAGATTGAGAGAGGAAGAGATGAACGACGATCTGAACGGATAAAATAATGAATGAATGAGAAGCATGAAGAGTAGATAAGGATAAGGACATTTGTTTCTCAGTTTGTTTCACACAAGACTGTTAGAACAACCTAGATCAGTGCGCACACACGCGAGGGTGGATTCGGACTATACTCTGAAGAACATGAACGAACAGGGAAAACAAAGAGGAGACAGAGTTTTGCGACGCGCAACTGATTGCGTCTTTTCTACTCTTTTCTTTATTCAGTTCGTAACAAACTGATCACCCACGATCAGTTTTTCCCGTGCCATCCCACGGACACATCATGGTCAATCTCTAGACGATTACAGAAGTAAAACAAACACTACTTCCTATTCAGTTGCTGTAAGATAATGCGGGAAGCGTTAAACCCTTTTCTCGGCCGCATTTGTATTTATAAGGATGTTGTCGTGGCTTACAAGATGACTGATCAATTGTTTGATCGAGAGGTACAGAGACAAGGTGGGTGGAGGAGTCAAAAAGAAGAAAGTATAGGCGAGGTTTACAATTCAAACACTAGTCCTATGCCTATACAACTCTATTTCAACACTCCCCCTCAATCTGAACCTAAGAAACTCCAAGGTTGAGATTATACTTGAACTCATCGAGCCTTATCATGGTGAGTGGTTTTGTGAAGCCACCAACTAGTTGATAACTAGTAGGAAAGAATGAATCTTATGTCAAGTAACTTGCGAGCTACTCTTTCTTTGACAAAGTGAAAATCAATTTCAATGTGTTTTCTGCGTGCATGAAAAACAAGATTAGTTGAAAGATAGGTAGCACCAATGTTATCACACCATAATCTTGCAGCTCATGGAGTTTCAACTCCAAGCTCATAAAGTAGAGTCTGAATCCACATGACTTCAGCTGTAGCATTTGCTAGAGCTTTGTACTCAGCCTCAATGCTTGACCTTGAGACTATAGCCTGTTTTCTCGCACTCCATGATATAAGATTTGTATCCAGAAACACAGAAAATCCACCAGTGGACCTTCTATCATCAGCACACCCTGCCCAATCTGCATTAGAGTAGGCAGACACAAGCATGGAAGGAGACTTGAGAATTCTTAGTCCAAGCCCTCCTCAAAATTTGAGATACCTCACAATTCTTTTAACTGCAGTCCCGTGAACAGTAGTCGGTGCATATAAATATTGGCATACTTTGTTCGCATGATAAGAGATATCAGGACGTGTAAGAGTTAGATATTGTAATGCACCTACAACACTCCTGTAGTTTTTTGCACTCAGGTCCAAGTGCTTCTCCAATGTCAATTGTGAGTTTTTCTGAAGTTGAGATTGGTGTACTTACGCGCTTGTAGTTTTCCAATCCTACTCTCCTGAGGATGTCATTGGCATATTTTTCCTATGACAAAAGTATACCATCTTTCACCTGCTTAACCTCCATGCCAAGAAAGTAACGAAGATCATCCAAGTCCTTAAGAGCAAACTCCATCTTTAAATCCTTAAGCAGGCAAGTAGTTGCATCTGGAGTTGAACTAGAAACAATTATATCATCAACATATACCAGAACATATATAGTAACATTGCTTTTACTGTAGAAGAATAGTGAGGTATCAACTTTAGATGGTGTAAACCCAAGTTGTTGTAACTTTGTGCTCAACCTTGAGTACCAGGCTATCGGGGCCTGTTTCAAACCATACAAAAGCTTTATCTAACTTGCAAACATGATAAGATCTGCTTCTATTTTCATAACCGGGTGGTTGCCGCATGAAAACATGTTCTTCCAGAACACTATGAAGAAACGGGTTCTGAACATCTAGCCGCCTTAAGCTCCAACCTCTAGAAACAGTAATAGACAATACAAGTCGAATAACAGCTGCTTTAACAACAGGACTGAAGGTATCTTCATAGTCAATGCCAAACCTTTGTTTGAAACCTTTCGCGACTAATCTAGCCTTATATATGTCAATGCTCCAATTAGACTTCCTTTTAATTTTATACACCCATTTACAATCTATGACATTTTTGCCTTTTTCTTCCGGCACCAAATGCCATGTTTTGTTTTTCATGAGTGCTTCATATTCCTTATCCATAGCTTCTTTCCAATATTTACTAGCAAGTGCATCATGCAAATGAGTTGGTTTACCCATACTAGTAAGAAACACATGTTTGATTTTATCATACCTTATGGTACCATCCTTGTACTCCTTTTCGTTGACAATACCTGATTGGGATCTAGTATGACGACGTAGGAGTTTAGGTGCATGCGCTGGTACACGAGTTCGGGTATTCCTTGACGCAGAAGATCTCGGTGTAGCTCGTTCAGCAGTAGAATTTTCATCCACAGAAGATCCTGCCGGATCCTCTGCATCGCTCAGCCCCTGATCTGAGGTGACCAGGGAGCCAGGAATCTCCGTCGTGATTACCGCACCAACAGGCGCGCACTGCATGGCACCTTCGCTAGCCAGCCGCTTGGTCGGGTGGAGCACACCGTCCCCGTTGGTCCCCATGCTGGTCGTTCGGTCGGCCGCTGGCCCGCCCCCCGCGTGCATAGAGATTGGCGAGTGGCACCGGCCACGCTGGCTGGGCTGGAGGGGCCCGCTCTGCTGGGGCTGTCGGACACGGATCCGGCTTGCCTGCTCCCTTCCCATGCTCCCATCCGTGCTCCCACTTCATCCTACGGTTGTCTTTTTTTTTTCTAATCTAATCATCTCCCCCCTAATTTTAAGGGGTGGGACCGGGCCTTATTTTGTTCCAATCAAATCATGCCATGTATGCGGGAGCACGGATGGGCACACACGCGGGGAGCAGGCAAGTCTCGTCCGTCGGACACCCCACCGTTCGCTGCATGTAGCGCGCTGGGATCCTCCTAGGATCACTTGTCTACCACACCGTCAGCCGAATTTTTCTCGGATCGCGCACTCTTGTTGCCACCTAAATCAGCCTGGGAACCGGTGCCTTTGTTTGTATTCTCTTGCATAAAATGACAGTGTGAATCTGCACACTTAGCACCAAAATTAAAATTTTCTTTTTCCTTGGAACTAGTCATATGATGAGCACTATTTAACTCGTCCCCGTGATGAGTACTAGGCATATAGTCAGGAAGAAGTGCAATTTCCACGAAGTAGGGCTCCGACATTTGGATGATACTTTGCAAAGGGAAATATTGTTTCATCAAATACAACATCACAAGAAATATATATGCGTCTAGTGTGCATGCAGCTAGGTTAATATAACAAAGACACGCATTGAACGTAGGAGTTGGCGGATGCAATGCCTGTAACCTGGAAGGTTTGCCTAGAAGCAGACATCCTTTAAAAGAGTGCATAATAGTTCACTGATCGAGCACCAGGTGATGGAATCTTTTCCCTACATATTATATATACTGGCAAACATGTCCGTGCATTACAACGGGAGAACAATAATAATCAGTAACATGATCAAGTAGAGCGAGTCAACAGAAATACAACAATTGTATCATTCTAGGAACCTTCTCTGTCATCTATAAACAGTTTATAATCAAGCACTGAACAGGCATAAATAGGTTGTTAGTAGAGCGAAGCACAACAAAGGGAATTCAGTTCACAAGAGCTTCCAAAAAGAATGTCTAATTTATGAATTTTTCTTGATAAGGAGGAGGATCTAAAGCTTGAGATCACATGAAGGTTTAAATAATGTGTGTGACTGCTGCTCCACACCCCGGCATCTCTCACTTTAAAGGTACGACACCCAATCCAAATATAAACATGTGAAACTTCAACCATACCAAGAAGGAATAGTCTGCAAGGACAAATAAGTTATTCACAACACCTTGCAATCCAATAGTGGAATTTAAAGAATTATCTAGGAACTGAACCATTT